GTCAGAAAACTAACAAAGTGGCCATAGTAAGTCCTTACTTATCAATAATTATTTTTAATATAAATGGATTAAATTCTGCAATCAAAATATATAGAATGGCTGAATGAATTTAAAAAACAAGATCCAACAATGTGCTGCCTACAGGAGACTCACTTTAGCTTTAAAGACACACGTAGACTTTGTAGTGAATGGATGGAAAAAGATATTTCAAGCAAATGGTAACCAAGATAAACAAGGGTGGCTATTTTTTATATCAAACAAAACAGACTTTAAACTAAAAGTGGTAAAAAGAGAGAAAAAAGTCATTATATAATAACAATGGGATCAATCCATCAAAAAATATAAAAGTTGTTTCTATTTAAGTACTCAACATCAGAGCACCTATATAAAGCAAAAAATAACAGAACTAACAGAAATAATAAACAGCAATGCAACAATAGTTTTGGTCTTACATGCCTCACACTTAACAATGGATAGAGTGAGGTTCTCTCTCATCCAGACAGAGAACCAATATGAAAACGGCATATGTATAGAAAGAACATTCTACCTGACAATAGCAGAATACATATTCTTCTCAAGTACACATGAAATATTTTATAGTATAGACCATATTTTAAGCCACAGAAAAATGTCTTAGCAATGTAAGACGATTATAATCATACAAGTATCTTCTTTGATTTGTATGAAAGCACAAATCAACAACAGAAGGAAAACTGGAAAACTCATGAATACATAAAAATTAAACAATACTCTCCTCAAAAGACTGGATCAAAGAAGAAATTAGAGGAAACTTTTTAAAATCTTGGGAGAAACAAAATGGAAACACTATCAAACTTACAAGATGCAGCAAAAGCAGATCTAAAAAGGAAGTTCATAGCAATAAATTAATAAATATATTATGGAACAAGAAATAAATAAACAACTTAATTTCATGACTCAAGAAACTAGAAAAAGACAAACAACCTAAGCCCAGTGTTAGCAGAGGAAGGAATTAATAAAAATTAGGACATAATGAACAAAATAAATAACAGGAAAACAAAAGATTAATAAAACTAAGAGTTGTTCTTTGAAAAGATAAAATTCACAAAACTTTAGCTAGACTAAACAAAAAACAAAGACAGAAGGCCTATCAACAAAACTATAAATGAAAGAAGAGACCTTACAACTGGGAACACAGAAATACAAAGGATCATAAAAGGCTACTATGACAACTAAATTCCCAAAAAACTGAACCTAGAAGAAATGGATAAATTCTTAGAAACATAAAAATTACCAAGAATAAATCAGGAATAAATAAAAAATCTTAACAGACCAATTTCTAGTAAGCATATTGAATCAGTAATCAAAAATCTCCCAATGAAGTACATCTATAACCAGATGGCTTCACTGGTGAATTTTGCCAAACATTTAAAGAAGAATGAATGATAATCCTTCCCAAACTCTTCCAAAAAACATTGAAGAGGAGAGGATACTCCCAAACTCATTTTATGAGGTCAGCATTACCCGGATACCAAAGTCAGAAAAAGATACTAGCAAATTGAAGTCAGAAGCACATTAAAAGGACCATTCATCATGTTCACATGGCATTTATCCCTGGGATATAAAAATGGTTCATAACATGCAAATCAATAAATGTGATATATCAAATTAATAGAATGAAATATAAAAATCATATGATCATCTCAATAGATGCATAATAAGCATTTGTCAAAATTTAACATCCATTCATGATAAAAAACAAAACAAAACAAAAAAACTCTCAACAAATTAGATATATAAGGGAAGTACCTCAGCATTATAAAGGCCATATATGGGATAAACCCATAGCCAACATCGTACACAATGGTGAAAGGTTGCAATCTTTCTATTATAAGATCAGGAGCAGGACAAGTACAGGAAGTACTTTACCACTCCTATTCAACATAGTACTGGAAGTCCTAGCCACAGCAATCAGGCAGGAAAAAGAAATAAAAGGCATTCAGAATTAGAAAGGAACAAGTAAAAGTGTTTCTATTATAGATGACATGATTTTATGTATAGAAAATCCTAACGACTCCACCAAAAACTGTTAAAGCTGGTCAACAAATTCAGCAAAGTTGGAGGACACAAAATCAACATGCAAAAATCAGTAGCATTTCTATACACAAAGGATTATTTGAAAACAAAATTGTAAAAATGATTCTATTTACAATAGCATCAAAACTAGAAAATAATATAATATTTTTGGCATAAAAATAAGACACAGAGACAAATGGAAGAGAATAGAGTGTCCAAGAATAAATCTCCACCTTTACAGGTAACTAATATTTGAAAAGGGAACCAAGACACATGATAGGCAAATGATTGTCTCTTCAACAAATGGTGTTGAAAAAAACTGGATAACCACATACAGAACATTAAAATCGGACCCCTACCTTACAACACTTAAAAATTAATTTGAAATGGATTAAAGACTTAGACAGAAAACTCCTAAAAGAAAACGGGGGAAAAACTCCTTGACATTTGTTTTGACAATGATTTTTTTTTTGGATATGACACCAAAAACAAAAGTAACAAAAGCAGAAAATAACAAGTGGGACTTCATCAAATTACATAGCTCGGCACAGCAAAAGAAATAATCAACAAAATGAAAAACAACCTATAGAATGGGAGAAAATATTTTCAAACCCTACAAGTATATCACATAAGGGGTTAATATGTATAAATGCACAAATATGTAAAGAACACATACAATTTAATAACAACAACAAAACACAAACAAACAAATAATCTAACTAAAAAACTAGCAGAGGAACTAAACAGAGACATTTTTCCAAAGAAGATATACAAATGGCCAACAGGTACATAAAAAGATTCTCAACATCATTAAATGATCAAGAAATGCAAATTAAAATCACCATGAGATATCACCTTACATCTGTTACAATGGCTGTCATCAAGAGGACACAAGATAACAAGTGTTGGCAAGAATGTGGAAAAAAAGAACCCCAGTGTGCTGTTGGTGGAATGTACAATGGCTTAGCCACTACAGAAAACAGTATGTAAGTTCCTCAAAAATTAAAAATAGAGCTAGCACATAATCTAGCAATTCCACTTCTGGATATATCCAAAGGAAAGGAAAATAAGAATTTGAAGAGAAATCTGCACTCCCATGTTTATTGTAGCAATATTCACAACAGCCAAGATATGGAAACAACCTAAGTGCCTGTCAATGGATGAAAGATAAAGAATATGTGATATATATTCTTTATATTATACTTTTTGGCACATATATATATGGTGCCAAAAAAATGTATACAAGTGGACACTTTGCTCAACGTTGCTTAAGCAGTAGTTCATCATAATCAGAAGTGTCTGGACACTGATGGTAACCACTTTGAGCACTTCTTGTAATTGCAGAAGTCAAATGTGACTTGTATCCATCTTTTGTTATTGGTATATATCGAGTATTACAATTTTAATACAGTTTTCCTTTCTTAAAATGTGTATACAATTTTAATACAAATTTCCTTTCTTAAAATTTGGAGATAAATATATATATATAATTCAGCCATGAGAAAAAATGAAATTCTGCCATTTGCAACAACATGGATGGACCTTCATGGCATTATGCTAAGTGAGATAAGTCAGATAGAGAAAGTCAAATATTATACAACATCACTTATATTTTGAATTTTAAAAAGCCAAACTCACAAAAACAGAGAGTGGAATGTTGGTTAGTAGGGGCTGAGGGGTAGGGCAATTGGGGAGATGATGTTTACGGGTACAAACTTGCAATTTGTAAATAATTTCTGGATATCTAAGGCACAGCATAGTGATTATAGTCAATAATGCTGTATTATGTACTACAAAGTTGCTAAGAGACTAGATCTTAATTGTTTCCACCACAAAAAAGAAATAATAATTATGTGACTCGATAGAGGTGTCAGCTAACTCTACAGTGGTAATTGTATTGCAATATACAAATGTATCAAATCAACCAGTTCAACACTTTAAACTTACGCATGATATATGTCAATTATATCACAATTGTTAAAAAATAAATAAACACGTTAGTACCAAACATGAAAATGAAGAAAAGTCATCAAGATAAAAGACATAAAAGTATATAAATTTTTTCTTAAAAAAACTGATTATCATATATGAAAGTTTATAAGTGAAAAATATAAATGAATTTACTTAAATGTGCCATTAAGCCATTGATCAGTAAGTAAATTAGTGTTGGATGAATTGGTTTTAGGTCAATTGATTCTTGGCCAAAGGCATTTCTTAAGCTTTCGATACTTTATTTCTATTTGTTGAGGTAGATTGAGAGGATAGGGAGTCTCTTTAAGCTATAGACATATAATATTTTCACAACAAATAGCTATTGAAGAAATAGTGTGCTCTTTATCTCTGATATTTTAACTCTCCTGATCTCATTACCCTTGTCATGTGGAAAGTTACACTAAGGATTGATAACAGCTAATTTTAAAAAAAAGTTAGTTTTCAATGTGAACTAAGTGTATTTACCTTTCAGATGCTATTAAGAACATCGTACACATGTGGCACTAATCTCTCTTTTAAGAAATAATTTTAAAATACAGATTCATTTTTTAAAAATGGTCCTTGGGCAATTCTTTTATCCCTATTGTGGAAAAGAGTGTATTGTCAAAGAGTTCCTTTGCAAATTAGAGGACTCTTGGTAATAAGGACTTCACTCTCGCAGGAGTCTGCACCTTGACTCCTCTCAAAAGATGATTGGTCAAAAGTACTGACCTCTGGGGAATGTGAGAGTCCATGGAAAAAGTGGAAGGTTGGTCATCTAGTTTCCTATGATTAGGTTAATTTGTCACCAAATTTAGAAACTCCAGGGTTTGGAAACATTCCAACGGAAGCTGTTTTATTTTCTTATTTGTTAAGGTTCACTGACCAAAAGGAACCTTAGTGCCGCAGAAGTAAATAAAAGGCTCTGTGTTCCACTACCCCTGATTACTCACATCTCTACTGGGCATTCAACAATGAGACTCCATTCCCTTCTTTCTGTTCTCCTCTTCTTTGTGATTATAATACCAAAAGGTAAGACGGTGAATAATTATAGAGGTAGTTTTCTTAGGAGGCCTCCTGGGATGCTCAATTATACTGTGGCATCTGAACTCAGACATTAATTCACAGCCTTTAAAAATTCAGAATTCCAACATGGCCATCTCCCTTAGAATTAATGAGGACAATATTGCAAAGCAGGACAAAGATTTCTATCAATAGAAAACAAGATCCAAGAGCTCTGTGATTAGAAAATAGGGCCCAAGTAGAGAGAGAGGTGAAGAAGGTTTGACATGTGACTTATGGATTAGCATACAAATCAAATAGCTTTTACCAGGGCCCCAATCACCCAAAAGGAGATTGAAAATGGCCAACTATTGGTTTAGACTTCGTTAATAAATGGATGATGTGGAGTTTACAGGCAAGGAATATTTGTGAAGGGTACAAGTTAGGTGTAGAAGACAGAGCTCAACAAAAAAGGATAGCACCAAGTTATTAAAAAAAAATAGCAAAAGGGAGCAGGGGAATTTGGCAAAACCATAAGCAGAGGAATAACACTTCAATGGCAAATTTTAAGCAAAAGACAAAAATATGAAAGAAGCATTTTAAGAATTTGAGTTACATCTTTAGGACCCATGATTCGTAAGTTTGAATATTAACATGAAGAATCAAAGAAAAAAGGAAATGTGTTCACTTTCAGGCTGGTTCATCCAGATTTTTGTAAGAACTGGCAACGTTCTCCTCTCCATTGTTAGTAGCAGGACATTCAGATCCCTCAAAATAACGTCTGTGGTCATTGAGCATAGATAGATACAGTCTGGATAACTCTCTTCCTTGGTTCATCTCTAAGATTATTTTAAATACAATCAAAGATACTCATTTGTTTGATCTTTGCCTAATCCATGGGTATCTTGGGAGCTACCAGACATATGGTTGTCTCTTCCTGAAGAAGTTTATGTAATTCTCATTTGGTTCTTAATTCTGTCAGAAGAAGACACAGCTGTGGGGATACACACTTACAGTGACTTCTAATGCAAAATTATATGATGTTAATGATTTAAAATTAGAAGGCAATTTAATGTTTAATTCTTTAATTTTACAGATAAGAAAATTCTTGTCCACATAAAGAATATGATTTTATTAAGGTCACATAGGTAGTGGCAACACTGCAGCTAGAACAAAATGTTTCCATCAATCTACAGGTGTGGGTATGCCTATAAAATGTTAACCCCAATTTCTGTCAGTATTTTTGCATCAAAATTTCCTAATTAGGTATTGAGGAACCCAAGGAGATTTTCAAGTTTCCTCTTTTGGAAGAAACAATGTTTTTGAAACATCTTACTTCACTTTGCTCCAAATTACTTTCCTCCAGTGTTTAAGGTAAACGTGTTGAACCAGCTTACTGTTCTGACATTATTATGGACTATGTATGCCAGTCTTTAGATTTTCTTAATCTGTGTTCCATAATATCAGATAAATGGCTATCAATTTTTAGATAGCTGAAAGAATTTGCCCCAAGATAATTATGTCAGCATGGCTGAGGAGCAAATTTTTTTTTGCTCATGCCTGCCCTCCATCACCTAGGCTAAATTCAACTCCACATAAATGACTGTCTCATAGCTCATGCTATGAGTCTGGTCTTTTTTTTAAAAAAGTATTAAGGATGGACAGATCTCCTGGAAGTAAAGGTCTGGCTAAAACCCACCATTATGTGGGAAAAGGGATATGGCAATAGTTGAGTCTTTAAGGTATGAAGAAAACTGAGAAAAGGTTGTTCTACAGCAAAGGCCAGAAACAACTGCTGGGAAAACAGCATTCTAGGAAATCTAGGCCTATGATTTAGAGAAGCTAATACAATAATGACAAGGCTAGATACCCACAATAGAATAGTACACACAAGAACAGGGACCAATCATCAAAAACAGGCTGAAGCCAAGAGGTTTTAGAAGAAATAAGATAGATAATGTGTGTGGGGTCCAAGAGTACTTAGCTGCATTCAACAGGAATAAATATTTATTGAGCACCTGTTATTTAACAAAGACTATGTTAGATACCCAGGATACAACAGAAAACAAAAGAAAATGGCTTCCCACAGTATTGAAGACAGATGTTGAGTCAAATGATTACAAAAATAATATATAATTATAAATTTTAATAAGTACAATGAAGAGGAACAGAGGATTACAAGTGATCATTGTCTATTTGTGACATCAGAGAAGACTTCCTGAGGCATGCTTTTTCAGCTGAAAACTGAAAGATAAGTGTTAGTTAATGAATCCCTGGCAAGGAACACTCAACACTCCTGGCCAAGGAAGACGCCAATACCATGTCTCTGGTGCAGAAGTAAGCAGTGTGCTCAAGGAACTGTGAGAAGGCCCCTACATGACAGCGGTAGTTGAGATAAGAAAATGTGCCAAATTTTTTATGAAGTTATGCCAAAGTGTTAGTTGTATGGCACTAATAGTGCTAAGCTGGGCTGGGAGGGCATTGGAAAAACAAGGAGGGTAAGGCAATCACACTTTACTCTGTATATGCTAATAGCAAGTACGAGTCTCTAGATGACCCAGGGATTTGGGGTTTAGGCACACAAACAAGGATTACCTACAGGTTCTACACAGCCTACAAGCCTGACAGGTTTTCTTGACAGACCTTTCCCTTTGTTTTGTTACTTCCACTATTCTTCCTTCAGAGTCTCTCTTCCTGGCTCTACCATAAAAAGGATTTCAAGTTTACAGTAGCTTCTTTCTTTTTTAATCCTAATTTAAAACATGAGATAGTCATGTTTTGAGGTAAACACATGGAATTTCTCAGTCTGAGAAACAACCAGCAATTGTGTGAACATAGATAATTGGGTATAAATAACAATCATGAGGAATTAGGAAATCAAAATCCCTAACCTTCCAATCCAGTAATTTCTGTGACCTAAAGGTAAATAAGCCTGCTCTAACTCTATGTGGATTCTCTAAGTCATAATCATGTTTGGACTTGAAAATGTGCACTGTCCCAACTCTCTACTATTCTTTGTGCCTCCATCATTAATTTGATGAGACCCCTTCTATATTCTCCCAAAGTAGGCTCTTTCTCTAGGCACCAAGATCCAGAGTCCACTACAGTAGGATCCCAAAGTAGAAGACAAAATCATCAAAGGTGATGAGGAGAGTGTATCATTGAAGGTGTAAAGGACTCAGAATTCACAGGCAGAAAGCATCAGGGCCAAGGATAACAGACATGGAACTGGTAGCCCTATGAATCTCGGGGACATTATGCTAAGTGAACTAAGCCAGTCAAGAGACAAATACTGCAGGATTCCACTTAGATGAGGTATCTAAAATAGTCAAATAGTCAAACTCATAGAAACATACGAAGGTTTAACAATAAGTTCATAAGCTTCTTGCAACAATGTTACTAACTTTATTTGATATCACAGGGTTTATTCATAATGAATTTGTACCAACTGGACAAACAGGTAACCAAGTTTACTATTTGGAAGTGCTGAAAAGGCTGAGTGAAAAAGTTGGATGACCCGAACTTTTCACCGTCAATTCATGGCCCTTGCATCACGACAATGCACCAGCTCACACGGCACTGTCTGTGAGGGAGTTTTTAGCCAGAAAACAAATACAGTTAAACCTTGGATTGTGAGTAACTTGGTTTGTGAGTGTTCTTCAAGACGAGCAAACATTTCTAATACATTTTAACATGGTAAATAAGCGATGTCTTGCAGTATGAGTAGTTTGTTTCCAGAATGAATTATGCTCATAAACCAAGGTATTACTGTAACTGTATTGGAACACCCCTCCCCCCCACACTCACCTGGTCTGGCTCCCAATGACTTCTTTTGTTACCCGAAGATTAAGGAAATATTGAAAGGAAGACATTTTGATGACATTTAGGACATTAAGGGTAACATGACGACAGCTCTGATGGCCATTCCAGAAAGAGAGTTCCAAAATTGCTTTGAAGGGTGGACTAGGCACTGGCATTGGTGCACAGCTTCCCAAGGGGAGTGCTTCAAAGGTGACCATAGTGATTTTCAGCAATGAAGTATGTAACACTTTTTCTAGGATGAGTTCATGAATTTAATTATCCAACCTCATAGAGTAGGACAGTGGTTGCCAGGAGCTGGAGGGATAAACTGACGGGGTGTTGCTGTGCAAAGGGTCTAAAGTTTCAGTTACACAAGATGAATCAGTTCTAGAGGTGTGCTGTACAACACGGTGTCTATAGGTAACAATACTGTATTGTGCACTTAAAATGTAAGAGGGTAGATCTCATGTTTAGTGTGCTTACTGCAGTAAGAAAAAGAAACAGTGAAGAACTGGAGGTTATATGGGGTTGATAGCAGAGCTAGCCTCCCCACAAATAGGACAAGAATCCTTCAGAGGCATACTTTTCAAGTCATGACATCCCCTCCCTCCAGGACAGTCAAGATCTGCCCTTGTTTGTCTCTCCCAAATCAGTTATGCCAGGAAGATAATAAAAGGAGTACATTACAGGACAGTAAAGACAAAATGAGATACAGGTGCATTAATTGGGTGGTTCAGAATCTAACTTCTGTTAATGAACATGAAGGGAGTGACTCTGTTATGTAACACCCACTGTGATCCACAGGGGAGAGAATAGACCCTATATTTGTGCTGGAAAGGCTAGAGGAAGGACATTAAGACTAAAGGAAAGTGCTGTATTGGAGCACACCCTTAGTTATGTGCTTCTCAGCAGTCAAATGAATTAAGAAGACATATGGATATATTTAAGAAAAATATTTTGTAGCTCAGAGAGAAATTCTCTCTATGTACCTACATATAAGGAACATTGAACAATGAAGGAAGTGTGTCTCTTGCATAGACCTGAAATGCAGAAATTAGGTAAGGTGGAATCTGAAGGATTCACTGACTTGCTGTAAAAAGGGACGAGAATACGTGCCATGACAATTTCATAGATGGGAACTTTCACAACCCTGACATCAAGGTCTTTTCCCTAGTCATGGTGACAAAAACAAATTGCCCTACACATTTCAAAATGTGCTTCCCAGGAGGAGGACAACTCTCTAAAACTTCTAGAACTCAGCCTGGCCTCTCCAAGATGTGTATAGTCCCATACTCAGTCCCCTCAGACAAAAAGGCACTTCTTGTGCCTAAGTGTCTGCTCTTTTCATATAGGTAATGTCATCTCATCCATCCCAAAGCCATCCTCCTGTAAATGTATTGCTTTATTTACATTACCAGTAATTTGATGGTGACTTATTGATGTCGAATTTCTTTCTGTGCAGCAAGGACTGGCCTTATCCCGGGGAAAAAACAATGTGTTCTTTTGAAAGGAGTGTGCAAATTCGGAGGCTGCACCTCCACAGAAGATACCATTGGTACATGTAATGACGAAAAAAAATGCTGTAGGAGGTGGTGGATATTGTATCCCTATCCAACGCCGGTTCCCAAATCAAAATCTCCTTAGATGGAAGCAAACCATAAGCCGTTCGAACTCCAGAACCCATGGATACATGTTGCAGTCTCCTGCTTAACCCAACTTGCGATTCCTCCCTTGACTGGAAATAAATGTCTGAATTTTTCCTGGACTGAACCGTGAGAAATTTCTTCTTGATGTACATGCAAGCCTCTTAAGAACTATAAAACTAAACAAAATAGTAGCAGAACCTCATACCCAAAAGATGTTTTGCTTTTTTTTGAAAGATTTTTTTAATTGGGGAATTGGGGGATGAGAACAGTGCTGGGGAATTGGGGGAAGGGAAACAGACAAGTTGCTGTCCTTTTGTTCTTTAGTCTAGTTGTGGAGGACGTTGCTTCACTGGCCCAAGTTGGCACCATCATTGCGCTCTTCCCGGGCAAGGCAGATCAGTCGCCGGCTTCTGGACAGTTGCTCATGGCAGCTGCTGGCTGCTCTTGCTGGCTGCTGGCTACATACGGTAACCCATGGCAACCCACTGCAGCAGGGGCTGCAGGCGACAGCGCCGGTGACTTTCAGCAGCCCAGCTCCAGGTTGAGCTGTTGTTCAGCATCTTAGCTGTAGAGGGCAGTGTCACTGGCCCGCATATGTGGGACCCGAACCGGGGCCCTCTGGCGTCCCAAGCCAGCTCTTAACCACCGCGCCACTTGGCCAGCCCCAAAAGATGTTTATACAAAATAAAACTTTTTTGATAAAAAGATAAAGATAAAAATTTTAAATATGTAAAATAATAAGGGTATGAAATAGCAGTAGGTGATGTTTGATTATGTGACATGGAATATCAACCTTCCTTATCTGATTCTGAACAAATATCATTTGATTACTAGGAGAGAGGCCTCCTTGGGAGATGTGGATTAAGGTCTGTGAAGCACGTGGTCTTCCCAACACCACACCTGAGAATGGGGCACATTCCACACCCAGTCATGCCAGCACTGACCTCAAGCTGATGGCACCCCGGCTTCATCCTGGCTTTGGAGGCATAGAATAGAACTCTCTGTAAGTAGGTTCACTGGTAGGAGAAGCTAGAGAGCTGGCAGTTCTTTCCAAATCCACTTTCTGGCTGGAATAATTTCCAACAAGATAATAATCTGGATCATTTCTACTTTATGGCAAAGAAAATTAAAACCCAAGAAAGAGACTCTGAATGTTATATGGCAATGAGTTCCACAAAGATGGAAAGAATCTTTTGAATAAAGTCTCAATCAAAATTCAAGGGTTTTTTGTTTCCTTAATCAAAAAGCCTATGTTCATTCAGCAGAAGGTGGGTTATTCCACCTTCTAATATTCTTTAGGGATACTAAGAATATCCCTATCCCTAATATTTAGGAATATTAAGAATATTCTAATATTCTTAATATTCTATTATCTTTGCGGATAACAGTTGTCCACAAGACAACAGATTTCTAGAGTACAAGGGCCACCTTTATCCATTCCTCTATGTTCAGTGTATCACACAGTCTCATAACACTGTTGTTTATGAACACAGGTTCTTAAGTCAGTCATATTTAAGTTAAAGTTGTAGTTTTTTTGCTTACCAGTCATATGACTTTGAACTATTTCCTTAACCTTCATTTGCCTGAGAATTCTCCTTCAATAAATGAGTGAGATAAATGAACTGTAGTGATAGGGAGATCCATTCCAGTTTATCCAAGCCTACCAGTGACTATTCATTTCTAATTAGGGTTGCCAGATAAAATATAGGATGCCCAGTTAAATATAAGTTTCAGAGAGACAATGAATATTTTCAGTAAAGGAATGTATAATATTTGGCATATAGTTATACTAAAAATTATTCATTCTATCTGAAATTCAAATTTAACTGAGTGTCCTGTATTTTTATTTGCTAAAGCTGGCAACCCCATTTCGAATCCACATATGCGGGTAATTCCAGGAATTTCCTCTGCTCAGTAAAATGCTCCCTTGCCAACCATGCTGAAACCCATGTTTTAATCATTCTCCTCCATATTTTGGGTCAAATTTACCACACACTGCCTGTCTTTCTCTATGATAATAGGGCTGACTGGTTCTCATCATTAGTCATGGGATTATGGTCATGAATTGCAAATACAGGTCAGTAGGTTTTTGCAAAATGTGACAGTCTTATAATCATCTGGAGCCTCATATGCACTGTCCTCTTTGGAGTAAACCCAATTTTTGTTTCTCCTCTGCCAAAATACCATGATGACTATACAAGAACTACTTAGAGAGTAATATACAGGCTCTGACCCTGTGCTTGTTTTAAATAATCTCATTTCCACAGCAGCTGTTGATTTTGTTTGCTGAGCTGTTCAGTAGATTGTATAGTAATGCCGTTAAATTTGAACAAATTAGCACACTTTCTCCCATAGTACTTTCATCTGGCTGTTAATTTACATTTATGAAAATCATGACTCGTGCATGCTGTACATTTAATAGTCTCATGTTTTCCAAAGGAATTACATAGTTCCTTTCAATGTGGTACATGCCTATTTATTACAAATTGACAAGTTTATATTCTCACAATATAGTAGCTATTGGTTGGAATAATTTGTTCCTCATTCCAGCAGGATGTATTGAGGAAGGTAGGATGTTAATTCTAGACAAAGCTTAGGGGTATAATTGTAAATTGATATTAAAGTTACATCTTCCATTAATATACTTAGGGTTTATTCCAAGATTGTGTTTTTTTCAACTGATATAAGATTTTTAATATGGATTCTTTAGGTAGCCTTGTCATTTGTAATGAAATTATTCTTTAAAAATGCATGTCCCCAGCCATGAATAATGTCTATGTCTGTTCGCTGAATTTTGAATGATACTAGTGCTGTTACCTTTTTAGGGTTTTAAGAGAGATTCTAAACAAAACTAAACAAAATTTTCACTCAACTCAAGTATAATTTTTCACTATGTTGCCTATGTAAGAAGTACTGTTATGCAGTGTAATTATAGTCCTTATTATCTTTTCCTCTTGAACAATATTAAGGTAAATGGTGGCAGTTCTGATATGATTGTAAACAATATACCTTTTGAAAACATCAAATCCTTCCTCAAAAAATTAAAAATAAAATTACTATATGGCCCAGGAATCCCTCTCCTGGGTATCTACCCCAAAAATCTGAAAACATTTATCCATAAAGATATATGTGCTCTGATGTTTACTGCAGCTTTATTTATAATGGCCAAGACATAAAAACAACCAAAGTGTCCTTTTATAGATGATTGGATAAAGAGGATGTGGTATATATACACAATGGAATACATACCATTCTGCCATAAGAAAAGATGAAATAGTGCCATTTGTGACAACATGGATGGATCTTGAGATTATTATGCTAAGCAAAATAAGTCATAGAAAAAGTTGAGAACTACATAATTTCACTGATATGTGGGATATAAAACTGAAAGTAACGAAGGAGAAAGACAAACAAATGAAGAAACAAAAACTCATAGACACAGACAATAGCTTAGTGGTTACCAGAAGGTGTAGGGGAGAGGGGTGGTAGGTGAGGGTAAAGGGGGTCAAATATATGGTGATGGAAGGAGAACTGACTTTGGGTGGTGAACACACAATGTGACATAGAGATGATGCATTACAGAATTATACAGCTGAAACCTATGTAACTTTACTAACAATTGCCACCCCAATAAACTTTAATTAAAAGAAAAAAAAAGAAAGCATCGAATTTTCTAAATATCTTCTTACAGGTGAAGAAACCAAGGCCCTAAGAAGATAAACATGTTGCTTAAGGATTTATGGAGGATGATAAAGTACAGAATAAAAATAGAAGCAATGCAACGTGCACAGCCAGAGCAGAATCATAAAAGGTGGAGAAGTGAGGGTTAAAACTGCAATAACATTATTATCTTGTTTGACATGACCCACAACATTGACCAAATGCTTACTATAAGCCCAATAACAAAGTAAAATGTTGCCACTCGTGTATTTTAAAGTATCAGTTGAACCAATTGCTCAGGAGAAGCACAGATATTATTGGTACTAATATTAGACATGAATTCCTGCTTGGGTTCTTCACAAAGAGAACACCATGTAACATTAAGCAAGAATGGCTTACACATTCCAGACATGAACCAGGCCCAAAACCCAGATCTACTGATTTTCTACCATACTATGTGGAGATGTTGGTTTCTGATTCATCCCAGCAAGACTGTAGATTCCTCATTTCATTTTCAGTTTCTTCCACCCTTCAGTTAGGATGATGTATATGTTTTTTCTATGAATGCCTAATCCCTCTGATCATAACTCAAGGTCACTTTTTATTATATTAAAAAATAAAAAATAAAAAAAAATTTTAATGTTCATTGAGACTGAAAGCTCCAGAAGTATCTAATATAATATAGACAAAGGTCAGTCATTTATGATAAATGAATTAAAGAATGCTGTCCAAGCTTTGGTATAGATGGCAAGATCTATACTGAGATGCCAACCTCAGTTTTTTGCATAGATACACTTGAAAAGCCATTGCAATTGGGCATATATACTCCTTAGGTTTTGGTCAGCATTAGATTTTTAGAGAAAAGTGGAGCTGGACTGGTAAAATCTGTGAACCAGCTCTCTTCGGTTTCCTCAGCATTGTCTTAACAGGTGCCCTGAAACACTACACCGACAGCTTGATTACGGATATACCATATACCCAGGTTTGAGTGAATAGAGTAGGAAGACACTTAATTGTAAAATTTAAATAAAGTGCTTATGTATTTTCATCATAACCAAGTAATTTTAAATGCAAAAATTAAATGCTTAAAAGGACAGGATAATTTCCGGGGCCAATACACTGGTTGAAATAAAAAATCGGTGTCTCACAATAACCTAGGGTGTTCCTTTGCTGTTTCCTATAGTTTTTCTGGTTTTCCTTTGTACCCCGTAGAACTCTGTTAATCTACATTCATACATAGAGTAAAAATATGTAGTATTCATGATCTCTCCAAGGTATGAATTGTCAAAGATAGACTAAGCTTTACATTCCTAAGAACATTTCTTTTATTCATCATAT